CAACTCCTTAAAATAGTTTGTAACACTCTGAGGTACGCAGAAAAAATTCCCCAGAGACACACTCAAAAGATCCATCGAGGAAGTGGCATGCAGGCCATTTTCAATAGATCGGTTATGACAACACCCACCGATAGAGAAAGTTCATCTCAAGTCACAGGCTAGTACAGAAAACACTGTAGTTAAATAGTAGGAACCTGCAAATAAATTCAGGGTAACAAAAAAAACCCTTAACATTAACTACCACAAGTTAATTCAGCACTTTGAAACTTATCCCCTGTTAATTGAAAACAGTGTAATGAAACCCATGCTAATAATCGTAAGTATATTAAAAGCAGATATCCAGGTTGTGTCTGTTCTTATAAATGTTTATTTTCTGACTTTAAAAAAAAACTCAACTCAAAATAAGAATTATTTTCTCTCATGCAAGACATCGTAATAACAGAAAGCTCTGTTGCTGAACAAGGCATGCCATGCCATCTACAGTTTTACTACAGAAATGCATACACAGGCAATCAAGTAAACGAACTGCTTTCTGTCCTAAAAAATCCCCGTGATGCAAGGCATTTTATTGTTTTCCAATCACTCTTGATACATGGAAAACACAAGCTTTTGGTAATTAACACACAATCTAGCCAAAGCAGGACAGCATGAAGAGTGTTGACAGACAGGCTTGTACGCCAGGATTGGATGCAGCAGCAGTAATGGGAAGGGAGGGGAAGGGAAGAGCTAGCAGAAGTTCCTGCCTCATCTAACTGGCATGTGCACTACACTGGACCTTTTCAAGCCTTTCCCTCCCAAGTAAAATCCACTCCTGCCTTACTAAAGGCAGAGACTTCACATCCACATTTCACTTTTATACTCGAATATGCATAATGGGAATATATACTTTCTGTATCAAGATGTCTGTGGGTCAAACGGCAGGTATTATTACTCTTTGAAATATATATGAAGACTAGAGATCCAATGTGGCTCAGTTAAGCACTAAGAAATAGATCCAGTGGCTTAGTTACCTAGCAAATGACATGCCCACTAGAAAAACAGAAGCAACCAACGAATACAAGAAAAACTGTAAGACTGGTACACAGTGACACACCAGAGGAAGAGATGACTTTATACATGAAAATCTGTTCACAGGCCTTAACAATTGTATTTTGGGCCTTTATATCAACACAGATGGAGCACAGCCCTTTCAAAGCCCTAGCTGCTTTGATCCTGGCAAAACCCTTACTCAGTGCTGAAGACAAAACTTTCATCACTTCAGTGAGATACTGGACTAATTACTAAAATTAGAACAGTCTCCATTTTTAATTAGATAAGTTAACAGTACAAATGCCTACTACTGGCTACTTGCTGTGGTACCTCTATTTTAAATTTCTTGCCCTCAGAGAGGAATCCAAGATCTAGATTTAGATTTTTGAGTTTCATATAAGATCAGAAGTGAAACAAGGAAAAATGTAAGCTGAACAAGGTCTGGCCTAAAAAGTCAGGAAATTCCCATTTCCTAAGCAAAGAACTACATCTAAAAATTCAGCCTATGTAATTGTATTCAAACTGTTTTTTTCTATTGTATGTCACTAACAGCAGTTCCATAGGCCAAACTGTGTTGTCACTGAATCTGTGCCAGCATCATGTTCTGCCTCATCCAGGCAAACCCGTTGTGGTAGCTGATAATCCTGGAGGGAGACACTGTGTTAGCATTAAGAAATATTTTAGAGAGAGAAAGAAAAATTAAAAAAAAAAAAAAAAAGAGGATCCAGTTCATTTGTCTGTGTAGGCTCTGTTGGACTAATCGTAAAGTACAGGAACTAGATATTCAGCCATAAGAGTAAGCATACCTGAATTTGGAGCTCTGCAAAGTGGCTGCTTGTGAAGATGGCGTTTTTATATCCTGCAGGCCAGCAGCAATGTGCCTTAGGGCAGCTGAGTATCATTAAGGTTGAAGGCAAGTCCAGCCATTGCCTGGTGGGAAGCACTCCCTATGCCAGTCAAAGATGGCTGGCAAAGATGCCACTGACCTGGGTCTGCCCACCCACACCACAGGTATGCCCTCCAGCTCTAAAAATCTCCTGCAGGAAAGTCACCTGGTACTACAGAGGTAACTCAGGGCAGGCCTAAGGCTTAATGCAGCCAAGCTCTTTAGCCTATATACTCAGTAATACCCCTAAGAAAGTTTATTTTTACTTGGGCCCAAACAAAGCTTTCACATAATATGAATTATGTGGAAAAGGGCTGTCAGAGAAGACCAGCAAACAAATAACACTGGCACTGTTAAATTTTCATCTAACATGAATTCTCCCAAATGTTTAGAGCAAAGGGCTCAGGCTAAAAATTAAGCAAGTCGTCCTCTCTGATACTGCAGTATGAAATCAGAGGTTTTGCAACTACCAGTTCAAGTGTTAGAAAGACAGACATGCCTCCACTGCTTATCCGTAAAAAGCAGTATTCTCCCAAAACTCCACCATCCCAACTTAAAGAGAGCGGTATTTTGTTTCAACAATTCTAGAAGTATATCTCTTCAGTTAACTGAAAGAAAAATACTTAAGTGATCTTTAGTCCTGCTACATGCAAGAGGTAAGATCAGACAAATGGGTACAGACTTCTCAGTTGTCAGGTTTCTACCTAGCCTATGTCCTCAAGAGGTTTTTGAGAACAAATCATCCGCCAGTAGCATCCAGCCTGTCTCTATCAGCATTAAAAGACGACTCTGTCCCTAAGGGTATCTTTCTTTCCTTCCTTTTCTTATATTTCTTTTCTTATCTTCCTTTTTTTGTCTGTAACCTTCCTTTTCAAAATTTTCCTCCAGTTTTCTGCAGTCTTCCTGATCATCTTTCCCCTCCAGTGCAGACACCTACACCACACGCTCATTATTTGCGGTGTGCCTAGAGACCATCCCGCAGGACCTGCAAGCCTTAAGAGACAGAAAAAATTCTTGAAACTATCTTCAGCATGCAGATGGCAATAAGGCAACAACAGATTAAAAAAAAAAAAAAAAAAAAGGAACTGGGAAGGAACAAAGCACATGAATGGATTTGAAAAGGCAGACTGTGGATTATGTCTCTACACATGAGATTCAAAATACTCATTCATCCAGCCACCCAGCACTACATCTCTCCACAATATGACTACTAAAGTCATCACAGGTATCTCTTCCAATATCGCATCAACTACTTCTTACTGCATTTAATGTGATCTTCTCACCTTAGAAAACCTGCCCAACCTCCCTTCCTTCAAAATGCCCCCAATTGCTCTCATACTCGTCACCTTCTCTGCCTCACCCTTTCATCTCTGTCCTCTTCTTATGTTGCTCTCCTCAGCTAAAGTCTCCTAGTTCTCCTTCGCCAAGGATCCCTCCTCTGATCCCACAGTTAGACCCAGTCTCCTTCAGTTCCCTCTTTTAAAATCACTTTTTCCAGAATCCCTTACCCTCACTAATAACTCCTCCATGGTCTGCCCTCCTATATCTTATACAAAATATAAAATGTTTCCAGTTACATACTACTATAATTTTGTTATGTCTACATAATAGCAGCTTAAGCTGCAAGTTGTAAATCAATGCATAATTTACAATTACATCTTATTTATCTGTAACATCTCTTACTAATGCAAGTATATAAAAAGGTATCATTTGATAAAGTAACATATTTGAAAACTATTGGAAAAAGCTTGGATTAAACAGATCTTGGAGAGAAGAACCGAATATTTATCTACTAAATCTAAAGAATAGAGTAAATACATATTTTTTTTGAAAGCTCTGAATCAAGTTCATTACACAATTTTGAGTCTGGCAGACTCAAGTATTGCTTCAACTGTATAATGTACAGAGCTTCTAAAAGTATAGCTCTTCTTCTAATTGGAATCAGGAATTTTATACTTTCTTAAATCTACTGGGCAAGAATCAATACCAATTTAACACTGAACACATGCTGCCATATAAGCTGATAAAATAAATTGCAGAAGCTGAAAGTTCAACATGGTTGCTGAAACTACAGCAGATAAAGATTTCTCCTAGCAATGACTAAGTATCCTTTTTCCCCTTCTCTTCCCCCTCAATCAAAAAACCACACACATCCTATGAGAGCCCATATGAAACAGATATGCCATATATGCCTTCCTGATTATAACAAAGCAATTAAAAACATATTGCTTCTACTGTGCAGCTATTCCAACATTAATTGCAATAATTTCATCAGCTTTACACAGCCCTAGAAGTAAATGGCAAAATGAGGAGAGAGGCTTGTTACAAGTCAAAAGGCGTCGCCCTTTCAGTGGTCAGAACTCACCGTAAGTCCAGATATTAGTCTGTCCTAAAATACATGAGCGGATTTCAGATGTAAAATTAACTATGAGCATCTCCAGTTTACTGCCTTCTTTTCAAACCTTTCTAATCTGGTTTCGTATCTAGATCATTAGCAGCAGGTCTTGGTTGGCTATGGAGATGTTTTAGACTGTACATCTCTCAGGCCAGTATAAGGTCTTCATTATTTGCTTGTAAAGCAGCAGTAAATGAAACGATCCGTTCACTTAGCAACGCACAACTCTCAGCCTCCCAAAAATCACTAACGCACAGCTGCTATGCATTGCTGATCTACGCCTCATGGAAAGTCCCCAGGACACCATATACAAACTTCCTAACATCTAGACATAATGCCAGTTCAAAACACAAACTCATTTAAGATACGCCTACAAAAACCGTAAGATTGTAAGTCTGTTTCCTTCAGACACTTCCCTTCATCTCCATAGTTAATACCTTATAGGATATCAAAGGCACTATCTGGAATATTTTTAGGAGATGCAACAAGTTCACTGTTCCCCAAATACAGTTATAGTTTAGTTTATTTTTCCTATTTGAAATAAGTTAGGGGGAAAAAAAGGATTGCTTTACAGTCAGCCTTTAAAATGCTCATTAGTTAACTCACAGTCATGTTCTCTGTTCAGTATTTCTGTAAGTCTCACTCTTTCACAAGTATTTGAATACTATTTTCTATTCACGTACCACTTACCTACGGGCAGGCGAAGAGTTATGTTGTTGCAGAAGTCAGTATAGCAGCATTCAGTTTTTGTTACGTTTTTAGAACTGTGGCAGAAGACTTGAGCATTCAGTTCTGGAAGGGAGACACATGACTTGATCACTTCTTCTCTTCCATTAGTTAGCATGACTGAAGCCCAGCATGCTCCCTCAGTTTGACAGGTGAAGTTTGTATGCTCACACAGCTGGCACACGCACTTTAGACCTGAAAAATATTTTTTCATTTTTCATGAGAAGTAGAAGACAGAATTCCATGGCAACCATACTAGTTAACCTTGTCAGTCAGTCAAGGACAGGCAGCCTTAGTCATGAAAGGTCCTCAAAATGCATTCAGTACACTTCCACCAGGCTAGTTATAACTCTGCAAGATGGAACATTGCTCTACTTGGGGGAGTCAAGGTTTAGAAATAAATAAATAAATAATTTTATCCATGCAGTCATGTAAACCAATCTACTACTAATGGAGCTTATAGGGGTGGGGCAGCGTCTGGTTTTTTCCATTAAAGATAAGATAAAATCATAAGATGACTAGAACGTTCACCAGGAACAGAACAGCTTTCTTCTGATTGCTGCTCAAACAGCCAGTATAGTCTAATAGATGCTCCGTTCTCTTGCTGGTACATTTCCCTGATCAAACTGGGACCTAAATTAGACTGCCATTTTCTCAAGCTGGCAACCCACGTAAGATTTGTTTATACGAGAGTGCTGTAGCCCTTAACGTAATTTCATCATGTCTCATATTCACAGCTTGAGGAAAAAAATGAAATGCACAACTGTGGCTGCATTTTGCCTGTGGTAGAAATAACAGGAACTCTAGTCTTAAACAGATGCTTTGAATGACCTAAGAACTCCTGACAGACATCAGTAAGAATCTGATTTTTGTTTCTGTGACGCTATTTGTTTTCTTTATAATAACCTTCATTCTACACTACCCTTCTGAAATAGCAGCTTGTAGTATTTATCTTCTGCTCAGGCCCACAACAAACTTCCTAGGCACCATATGCTCATGTTTATCCTGAATTCAGGATAAGCTAGGAGCCAAATCTTTATGCGTTTGTTTCAGCTTTCTCTCTGTACAAAGGCGTGAGCACAAATAATCATCCAATAAAGGAAATGGGTGATTCTTTTTCCCTTGAAGACATTATCATCACAGTCCTAGAAGAGATGCCAGGAGCAAGAGTCATCAGATTGATAGAAAAAAGAGATCTAGCAGAAGAAAAAGACAGACATCCTCAACAATACTGCAAAATAAAAAAGTTACTGGACAAATTAAAATAAAGACCTTTATAAGCATCTTCAGTGTTTCAGACAGTCCACTATGCTGTTTTGCCCCCTTCTTGTGATCTAAAAATAAGATGGGAAACAGTCTTTATAATGTCACTGAAAGTAGACAATTGTTTTCTCCTGTCCCACGTGCATCCGATCCCATGTGGATTGCTTGAGAGGGGAGCTAGTCAAAAATGTCACTGCAATTCCTGAACAGCTTCAGGGGTATTCCTCCAGACATAACAAACGTAAGATTAGAAAAGGACCGTTTAAGAGGTTCTGTAACCTGTAAGAAGCCATTACACAAAACAGAACAGAAAGAAAAGTTTTTTTGGTCAAAATTCACAATGCAACTCAACCAGATTATTACTGCTTCTGAAAGTGAAAACATTCAGCCCATCAGATGACAAACTCAAAGGAGCAGGGAAAGGAGCGTGTTGAATTCCATGTTTTCAGTAATTTTTCATGCCCACTGGAGACTAGGTCTTGCTGGAGAGCAAGATAGCTCTATAAGCTTTCTTTCTACTACAATATAAATACTGAGCTCACAGAAGTCATGGGAGAAAGGCATGCAAATTTGCAATAGGAAAATTAAGTTCAATTTGGATTGAGATATTAGATCATTTACAGCAGAGGTTAAAGAGCATACAAAGCAAAACTTGCCCACATCCAAAACATTATATCCTAAAAAACTTTTTAATGTATACGTGTTCTGCCACATCTGAACTGCTGCCTTTTTCATCATTCCTTCAAAAAAGCTGAGAAACAGTATCCTAGCAGGGACAAAGTCTCCAGCCTGTACTTCTCAACCTAGGTCCTTCTAGCTGTCCTCTGCTAGTCCTGACTCTCACCTTGTCCCCGTTTTAGTCTCTTTGTCCAGTTTCCCCATCTTTATGCAGCTCTGATCTCATATGCCTCCGGCCAGACACCCACTGTCATCTAATCACAGGATCTTTCTCCAGTAACACCTAAAACACCTCTCCCCTGCATCCTGTGGTCACCTTCATTCCTCTCGAGATGGCTCACACTCACAATTTACACGTCACCTCTTCCCAAAGCCTTATAGCGTCCTCCCAGTCCCCATGTCCTCCTTCACCATCTCCCGGTTTCTGTTTTATTCTTCTGCTCTCAGACACACTTTCTTTCCTATCAGGTTGCCAGTTGCATTATTGGTCCCACCAACCAGCCTTTCAATCCCAGTTTCATCAGAATCTTTTGCCTTCACTCAGTCAATGCCTTGCACTCCCCTACTCAGAGACAGCTTTTAGTGCTTTGGGGCAGAGGAAACAACGTACTGACAGCATCAGAGAGAAAAGTTTCCCTGCTCTCGTTTATTACTTGTAGCTCTGCACTAGCCTGCATCTGAAATTAACTAACGCAGGAAAGTCTTTCTAAACTAAGAATCTCTGTGCTGGAACATACTCAGACTGGCAGATGGCTGCAGTCAAAGGGATGAATCTGTGAGATCTGGGAGTAAGAGTGATCAGCAAGAATGAATACTTCACACACCTTTTTTGCTAACCCGATTAAAAGGGTTTCTGCTGAACACTTACGATCTTCATTCCCTACCCCTGCAGCCCTGTATTTCACATTTTCCTAGGGTTATGCCTTTTGCTATTGTTGACCCAAGGTTAAATGCTGCCAAATTTCAAGCCCTTGCTCAAAAACAAAGACAAAACAAAGGGGGGGGGGAGGAAAGCACTGCTAAATCTATTCAAAGGCAAGATCAAAGTTTAAGTTGTCGGCAGGATGAGACTCTCTTTTCCTCAAAGTGATCTGTATAAATCTTCTAAACATAATCCATCCAGAGGCAGGCATCCAATACGATGGAAAAGTTGAGCTCAGATTGTTAAATTTTTGGCAGATCTTACAATGGGAAGTGCCTGACAAGTTTAACAAGCTGTAATTATAGGCAACTGATAACATCTGTGATTTCTTGACCAGCTACCCTTAACATTTATGGATGGGGGAATGGGCATCTCAAAAACTGACACCACTACATAAATAGAAACCCAAGATTCCTCAGATATGTGCCTATGCTCCTGGATAATTTCTCATTTATAAAAAAGGATAACAAATTCAAAGCAGATGCAAATATCTGACCTTGCTTCCAAGAGCATATATGTACATCCTTTGTTAATAAAGCAGAAAGATGTCCTTAAAAATATAGCCACAAAAGCACAGTTTTCCAGCATCCATTCTATTTCAGCTCCTTCTCCTCAGTTAAATAATGTAAAGAAAAGCCTAGACCTTTTTTGCATGCTCTTTTTGCCCACAGGCATGCTAAGCAAGGGTGCACTGCAAACTGCATCAGCAATCAGCTCACATCCTGGGTTGCATCTCTGTATTGCACAATGCACTGAGCTTATCAGAGACTTGTACAACAACCTGTGCTCTTCTAAGCTTGAATCCCCTTTCCCATTACCACCCTGGCATCCTCAGACACAAGGGCCTGAATAGAATTTGTGACTTACCACGCTGATGCACTTGGCACATCTCAGTGCTGCTCCAGTTTACTCATTACAACCTTCTCTCTCAAACTTTCCTTCTTATGGAAAAACTCTCCATATTCAATTCAACAATTCACTGGTAATGCAAAATCCATTTCTAGATCTCACTACACATCTGCACAGTTTCTGCTATAATTTGACTCTATCGCTGTCCCAGAGAAGCTAGCAAGGCATTTACCCCCAATTTACAGAGCACATGGATAACAGTAAGGTGACGGAAGAGCTTCCTCTGTATTTCACAATGCTCAAACCAACATAACCTTTCAACCACGCTTCCTCTTCCAAGTAGTCATTTTATGGCATGAACACACAAGGGTTGCTAAGAAACCCATTAGAAACGCACAGCATTTCTCCAGCTCTATTCCTAGTGATAGTCCTGATGATGTTACTAGCAATGCATTGGTGCGCGGAGGAAAGTCAGAACATTCACAGCAGTTGAAACTAGAGAAGTAAAATATAGTAATTGTGCAGTAGTTAAAGGAAAAAGAGAGATAGGAGGAAAATATGTTCCTGACGTTACAAAACACAGCACTCTTGATCCTATAACGAACATGACTTCTTTATTTACTCAAGCATAACAAAATTCCCCTTAAAATGTTGCATTCTCTTGTTCTTGAGAAATTAGGAGAAAGTGAACAACTGAAGTATTTCATGGCCTCAAAAAGCTATGTTAAGCATTCAAATTTGGTTACCAGTGGTTATCAATTATTTAATTCTCCAGCAGTTATTAACAAATTTGCATCTCTCTATCTGCATCTTTCCAAAAAACCTCACTCTCCCGAAGAGAGACTGACCGTACCCTCACAACGTTTTTGAGCATACTGCTCTGATTGATAGTCACTATCCGCACAGCGGAAGGCAAGGTCAGAGAGGGCAGAGTAGGAAAGATACACTTTGAGTTCACTTTAGCAGAGACAGTAATTACAAAGAAATATTTCATGACAGCAAAGAAAGGTATATATTTCTTCTGTTGTCTAAAGAGAAGCATGGTACTTCTCTTGTTCTGTATAAGAGCCAAATGAATAATAGGAGAAACTAACAACCAGAGGCAACAGTGAAGTTGATTCACAATTTGTTGTCAAATACACAAAAGATTTTTGTGTACACAAACAATTTTTAAACACAGGAATCATAAGGAAAAAACAGGTGTTCCCCGTTTCAACATTTTTTCAGACAGATATAGTTGAAGGAAATGTGTTTTTGCTTTTTGCTTGTTTCTTTGCTTTTTGCTGTCATTGTAATAGGAGTTGAGACTATAGAGCAATTTCTTGGATTAAA